GCAAGTCTCTGCTCCTCCGCAAGTCTCTGCTCCTCCGCAAGTCTCTGCTCCTCCACGAGTCTCTGCTCCTCAGCAAGTCTCTGCTCCTCCGCGAGCCTTGCCTGCTTTTCTGCGAGCTTCTGCTCCTCTGCAAGCTTGTCTTTATAAAGATTCTCTGCTGCGAGCTTCTCTGCTTCTAGGCTTTTCTCCTCACTGATTCTCTCGCCTGCGAGTCTCCCCTCGATATCTTGTTCATTTGCAACCCCATCTTTAGGGTGTTCCCCCGCAATCTCTGTCGCTACGGCTAATTCGTTATATCCAAATGCCGCCCCAATGGGCAGACGCCTTTTTGGACCTCTTGCCCGGCCTTTCGTCATGTGCGTGAGGGGGGCCGGGGTTTGTGGCTCCTGCTGTTCTGAGCTTCCCGTTGAGAGGCTGCTAGTGATGGAGAGGCCCGTGGCAGGGCCGTTGCCAGTGGTAGGCGGCCCGCGAGACAGAAGTCCTGCTAAGGCAGGATTGATTCGGCCTGCAAGTTTACTTTTAGCAGCGGTACTTTCAGCCGCAGCAGGCGCATGTGGAGTCTGGTCCAGTTCCACCGGAGACAGAGAACGCACCGACGACCGTACTGAGGATTGCACGGAATGCACCGAGGAACGCACCGATGAATGAACTGATGAACGAGCCGAGGAGACGTCTCTATGGCCCTGAGCTTCCTCTTGACCTTCTGGAGTCGGCAAAGCCGCTTCGACGTGCAGGGGAGATTCCACCTTGTTGTAATTGACCTCCTTTTCAGCTGCTTCGCTCTCTGTTCCAAGTTGATGTCCGTCAAAGCTAGCCTTCGAGGTTTCAGATAGTTCGACGGTTTCTTCGAGATCGTGAGTCACTTCGTTGCTAACATTGGTATCTGGCCGAATAGGAGAAAGGTTCAGAGCCTGGGGTTCTAAAGACATCGGCGGCTCATAAGGTGATAGCGGCGAAAGTGGCGAGCGTGGAGATGGCGCGTCAGTGGTGGATAGATTGCTTCTAGAACTGATAGACTTGGTCAAGTTGTTCCTCTTTGCAATCGCTTCTGGGACGAAGTTCATGGGAGCGTCCATTTCTCCGGCAGTGTTTCGCCTAGTTGAGCCCCCATTAGTTTTGATTGCTTCCTTCTGTTTGAGTATGCTTTCTTTCAAGTCGTCAATCTTTGGCGATTTCTGAGGACCGTTCGTCGTACTGAGCGCCGCCTTGCCTTTTAAGATATTCTCTTTTAAGTCATCGGGGGGTACATAGGTCGATGCCCCCGCCCTCTTCAGCTTTCCGAAAACGTTCTTGAATTCTGGCTCCTCTTTAGGCGCTTCATCTTTGACAATTTCGCGGCGTCGAAGGTTAGCTCGGAAATCGATCACAGCTGGTTGTGGCTTGGGCCTGTTTAGAAGCGGGTCGCGAGTTGGAGATGGAAGAGGCATGTCAAGTACGGTCTTGGTAATAGGGCTTCGAGTCGACAATCTCAATGCATGCTTCATAGTGCTGTCTTCTGCGACTTCTGTTCCTGTATCTGCTGTGGCGAGCGGCGGGACTTCCACACTCGCCTCCAGAGGCGCTGCTTGATCATTGTCTTCGGGGCTGTGAGCCGGCTGGCTGTCATTGGGCAAAAATATCGGTCCGTCCTTGAGTTGACTTTCGACTACGCTGTCCTTCAGTTCAGAAGGAGGAGTTGGGACATCATTAGCGGGGACATCATCAGGCGGTTCGAATGTCGCATGATCATCTTTGGGTTCAGCCGGCTCGCTGTCTTTTGGCTCGGCCTCTGGAAAGTTCCCATGGGGAATGAAATCAAGGCCGGGCTCTTTCAAAGTAGAGGACAGATTGGTGGTGAAATCATCTGGTTTGGCCTTGCCCATATCAGGTCCAGAGAAGAGGTTTGGAATTCCAGACACGCTTGATGATTTGGAGTGAGTGCCCGGAGCAGCCGTTCGCATGAGCCCCACGGGCGTAACTTCTTTGAAGCTGGAAGTCCGTCCCAGATCAACACTACTCCGCAATTGCCTCTCCCTAACCCATGACGGTTGTTGAAAGGACTGCTGCCTCTTGTGCTTCGGCGAGTCAGGAGGGCGATTCAAGGCACTTTCCAACCAGCTGGCTTTGGTAGGACTCCATCTCCTAGGATCCATGGTCCTGGAGACTACTGGACTTGAAGAAGGCAAAGAACTTGAGTCTGGGCCCTTTTCAACAGAGCTAGCCGACCGCGTGTGAAGGCTGAGAGGGGGCCTAGCGGCCCCCTCGTCACTCAGTGCATTGCTCTCGTGATTTTCGGGAATGGGAACTGGCGGGGTTGGCGGTCGTCCACCGTCTCTGGCAGGGTCTATGATAGTTGCCTCGCTATGGCTCGAACCAGGTCGGTGACTCGATGTAGGCCGATGGCTGGAAGTCGGCCGCTGAGATGAGAGGCTTGGAACTTCGCGGCTCAATCTATATGAGGGCGAGTTTGAAAAGGTCTCATTCCCGACGAAACTGTTACGGCTGCTAGCAACCGAACTTGGCCGGCTTAGACCCGATGGAAGCTGGGCGCTCCATCTTTTCGACACACTATCGGATCGCTTCATCATGGCGCTCTGCACAAATCCGCCGAGACCCTTTGTCGGTGACGTCGACCGTTCCGGAGAAAGTCGCCTTGGAGAAGCAGGAAGAGACATCTGATCCTCTAAGACCTCTTCGGGCTTACGGGGCTCCAGCTTCTGCGCGCTTAACAGAGGCAGCGGAGAGCCGAGTCCTGTCGCGGTAGAGACAGAAGAGACGCTTGAGTATCGGTGGCCCAAACTACTTTCTGCAAAGGTCGAACTGGCTCTTGATGGCGATCGAGATCGTCCCTCAACGCTCTCTATGTGATCGGTGTCCTTTCTAGGTTCTGGGGTGTATTCCTTTTCGGCTTCTTGGTGCTTGAAATTGGCTTCGGAAACCGGTGTCCGTGGTCTCTCGTCCTCCACATGTTTGCTGCGGGTTGGGGAAACGCTTCCTTCTGTCTGGCGCGCCCACGAAACATCCTTGAATGTGGGTGAGGCTGCGGATGAGTTCCGATTCACATTCTGCTCATCCGTCGAAGCTGTGGACAAGGCTCGCCACCTGGAAGGAGATGATGAGAAAAATTGTCTGTTGCTATCACGGGATGTTGGCCTTTGCTGCCAGGACAGAGTCCCCGTTCTACTCCGCAAAGGTGAGAAGGGTTTAGATGGTATTTCGCCATCGACTCCGGTCAGTGTGGATCCTCTCCGGCCGCCGTCCGTGGTTGTTGATGTGTCATCCCCAATGGATTCGGGTCTGCTGTCCGAGTCCCGACTCGGGGTATGGAGAGATGGTCCAAATTGTTCGGGAGGTTCGATCGCACGGTGGCTGAGAGTCGAGGATATGCTCAACCGAGCCGCATCAAGAATCGGGGAATCTTTTGTGGGAGAAATTGAACGCGCCCGCTCTGTGTGAGGACCATGCACAATCAGTGTTCAAATTTGCGAATCTAGACGGCGGCGCATGGAAAACAATGAAGAGAGGGAATAGACATAATTATCAAGGAAAGAGATTACTTACCAGCTCTTCGGGCCTGTCTCTCTTTGCGCCCCTGCAAAATCTCCTCCTCCAACTTTTTCGTGCGTTCCTCATCCTCCTTATCGCGCTTCTCTCCTAGTTCCCGAATGCGCAGAAGAAAGTCATTGACATCTTCCGAGCTGTCGATGTCTGCTGTAGGAGCCATGGCTCGCTAAATGCCAGATATGACCGGCCAAGATCAGAAGGAAGGTAGCTTGAGAGAAGAAAAAGAGGGCAGAGGGTCAAAGTGTCCGCTAGAAAGAGAGGTTTCTTCCAAGCTGAACTAACACCGGGCAACGAGCTAAGGACGGTGGGGTTTTTCGTGCGAGGCGATCAGGAGGGGAAAGATCGTGCGGTAAAAGAAGAAGAAGGGGGGGGGGGGGAGAGGAGGGGGGCTGGAATACTAATTGGGCAATCAATTGTGGTCGTGACTCGTGAGTCTGTGAGGGTCGAAGAGAAGGGGAGAAAGAGGTGGATGAGGGAGGAGGGAATCAAGGGAAAAGAAACCCCGTGGCTCGCGGCTCGCCGCCCTGAGGCGAAGATCGATTCGCATCCGACGAGGAATGAACTACGGAGTACTCTACTAACGTTAATACTAACTTCACTCTCTCCTCGTCCATCTACCCACTTGGGGGTCTCTCCACTACTAATTCCTCACCTGGAAATGAGTACTAGTGAGATTTGTCCGTTAGACGCCTGCCTTATCACTCGACTTGGTGGACCCAAACAACAGCTGGGAAGCCCATTCCATCAACAACAACAACATCATCATCAGCATCAGCAGCATCATCCTCATCAGAGAAGGAAGCCCGACGCCCATCAGCTGCTGTCGCCCCACAACTGTTTTAGCTGGTGAGGCGCATGAGAGACAGGATGCATGCACATCAGTACTTATTATAATCACAGTTCTCCTAATCCCAAGGGAAACAACCCATTATGCTAATGATACTTTGTCGTTCAGGGGACTTTCAGGGGACTTTCTCGAGCCTTTAATCTCTTCTTGTTCTACCAAAGTCAACACGTTTGGTGTTTTGATCTTTCTCGACACGGAAGATTGTTTACTTGTTGTTCCCGAGTTCGGGTCTTCGCGGTGGAGCACACCCACCCTCAAAGCGCACCCTCCATTCACTCAAGAAGTCTGCAATCCGGTTATTGTACGGAGGACATACGTACAGTACAGTACGTACTTGCTAAGTAGCCGCGACGAGAGAAGAAGGTCCAGGACACCTTGGGGCAGCCATTATCCCTGAATCTCGATTCCGATCTTGCTTCTCCCCGTGTCGTCAGTGGTCCGGATGGGGGCCAGATCCATGGATAAATCTGTGATGGTTCAAGGATTTTCTGACACTGACGCGGCCGGCATTCCAAGGCTGCAGCTGCAGCGGCGGCTCGCTCCAAGCGAAAGTCTGCCGGGCAAACCAAACCGCTACTGCCCCATCATCCATTGACGTAAGATACACTAAGTTAGTTAAGTACACACGGTCAACCACCACTGGTTCCCACTCTGCTATTTCCAGCAAAACTTGGCCCTTTACCTTGTTCGATAAAGGTCCATTCAAGACCGTGGACCCTGACAGAGCCGACGAGTGTTTGATCGTCCATCCGAAACTCCCGACAAGGCCACACTGAATCGGCCCCGAGCAAGGGAGCCGCAATATACGCACACACAAAAGTCAAAACCCTGTCTAGGATGTCCTCGCTAATGCTCCATCCCGTTGTACATGGAAGCTAGGGCTGCATGTCATTTCGAATTCAAAATCCTCTTTTCTCTGCAGGGTCAGTGATGTCCAGGGCGAGAGGGGCCAACCAATAAGCCCAACCGTGGTCGGGCATCGCTGCCGCGTGGGAGGGTCAGAGAAATATATCAGGCTGCCACCCGGAGATTGCAGCTGGTGAGCCTCATCTCGTGCCCTTCTGGATAGAGCCGGCGCGTAAATAAGGGATCACACTGGTTTGCTGTAATCTCGGTAGGCTAGTTGAAGCGGTAGTATTCACGGCATTATCTGGAATTAAAGATCGAGGGCATTTTCATATCGCAATCATCGGCGGAGTGCAATTAGGCAATCTAGCTAGCTAACCTAGTATAAGAAAAGTCGATCCTTGGCATCTTGCACCACCCAATCCAACCCCTCGTGTAGATTTCTTCCTGTCATTGCACTGCACGGCAATATCGTCCATTTGTGTGTCTTGATAGAGTCCAAGCTCAATCGCTGTATCGCGTTCTCAGTCAAAGAAGGGACCCCGAACGTAAACCGGTCGGGGAAGAGCAATGAAGTTGGGTAGGAGAAAAAACTCACCTCACGAACCTCTTCCTCAGTCATACACCCATCAACATCAGTTTTATTGAGAAAAACTAACAGACTCGCCCCCATCAACCGCTGTATAAGAAGATCAGTCAGCCTATGCCGCCTCAGAAGGAGGCCGCGGGGAAACAAAAAACGAAAAAAGGGTACCTCTTCCAAAAGCAACCCCGCCAGTTCGGTTCGACAATCCTCCACGCGAAGGCGGTCGGTCGCATCAACAACCCAGACCAGGGTATCGGTCTTTTCGAAATAATTCTTCCAATAAGAACGAAGCGTTTTCTGGCCTCCGACGTCCCCTGGAGTACCTTAGGTTAGTCGGCGGGAAAAAGGTAGGACGGAGCGGCAGAAGCCTCACAAATGTTGAGACGGTATCTTTTCTCCCCCCTCGGGGTGTCAGCTATCGGGCTTTCTTTGCTGGTGAGCTTTGGAAAAATGAACGAGATTTACCCTTGGAATTCGATGGTCTTAATGATGAAGCCCAACGTTGGACTGACGGTGGTGACATCTTCTTTCATGACTTGTTTGACGATGGTCGTCTTGCCGGCGTTGTCGAGACCGCTGGGGTGGTGGTGTTCGCGCGTTAGCATCGCATAGATTATTATTGTGGGAGTGTTCGACAGCCTACAGCATAAGAATCCGCATCTCCTTGTCCTTCAGCCGGGCTTTGCGTAGAATAGACAACATCTTGGCGGGTTGTCTGCTTGATCGGGGATTCGGCGTGTCTTCCTATGGATTTTGGGGGGTGTTGGAGGTTGTATGCACGGGTTGGACGAAGTTGTTGTATAAGATAACTAGTAGGCGAGCACACAACTCTGCCATACTTGGTACATAATAATACATTGGCAGCACACCTGCACCACCCAAACCGATGTTATAGTTCCCTCTAATCAACATCAGAAATTCGACAACAACCATCAATAAGTTCTAGATATGTCAGATCAATACCTATTAGCTGTTGCTCTTACCGATATAAAGCTGCACGTGACCAGCAATCTATATTGTTACGTTTCTAGAGTCAAAATAAAAAGATTCCCAATGCATAACCTCCTACAAGGGCAATGGCCGTTGCAGACCTTTCAAAGAAAATAAATGATGTATCATAATCTCATCCTGGTTTCATACTATCAGTTCAGGGCTGTTTTTCTGTACCGAGCTTCGCATTTCCCCACCCCAGACTCCGAGATACGCTGTGTAGAAGTTCACAGTTGGCCCGACAGCGGACTTGAATATGCGCTTCACATAGCTGAATATTTGAGCTACTATTTGCGTAGTCATAGCACCAAAAATCTCATATTCAGTTATAAGTATGCGATCAAGGCCTGTACTCAGAGAACCGAGACAGACCAACGTCATGATCATTCGTCGCAAGATCCTGCGACACAAAAGCAAGGTGATGAGAATGCAGCCTAGCAAGACAGGAATCCATCAATCATTATCCGATTTGAATATGTTTGCCGAGCCGGTGATGAAGTTATTCACATTACCCCCAGAGCAGGAATTAACAGAGCGGGAAGTTCAATGTCTGGGCAAAGATCACTCCAGATTAAGACGAATCTTATATATTTCTCTTTTCTGCATCATGGACCAGTCCCCGCTTCTGATACTGCAGACTGAGTTTTTCCCAACGAGTGAGTAGAGCGTTGTAACACGTGACTCCCAGCTAGAATTCAGCAGTGACACCTAGCCCACACTGAAATTTGCATAAGATAACTTTAGAACAACTCATCTTGCATGCCATGATCAGAGAGAGACAGAAAGGCAGAAAGAAGGAGAGATTCTCTGCAACAAGACTATCTTACCATGTTAGTTTGCAAACCACACAGACTGACAGATCAACCGTCGACTCCTTCCGTCCTCTTCTTCATTTTTCAAAAACTTGTAAGAGATCTTCCAAGTTCACCATCTATCCTTCCTTTTCTATACCTGAAGAGTGACATGCATTATCTTTGGATATTTTCATTATTCAATAGGAGATAGAGTGATACACCTCTTTATTCAAACAAAGTCTTTCCTTGTCCATGGTCACATCCTGCAATAACGCTTTAGAAGACATAGCGTCTCGTGTCTTCTGAAACAAGGATCCGTCTTTTCAGAGTAAGCATTCGTCTTCATCATCTGTATCTCCTTACTCTATTGACTTGAGTTGAAATGGAAACAAGATAGAACTATTCCCAGCAGTGATCGCAGAAACCACAGACCCGTGACTTTTCAAAGTGAGTTCCTTGCCTTCATTAGTCGCGTCACTCACCTCTCATGACTTCAAACACATGAGCCGTTATCTCTCATAGCCATCCACAGTGACTCATTGACTAGGACACTGAACAAAAGGCTTTCGCGCACCTAGGTAAATGTCCAACCCATCGAGTCCTTCTGGCTCATGATTCATATAGCAAGCAGGCTAACATTGCGCCCTTCCCACAGAGACTGAGAAACAAAGTCATCCCAAAGCAGGATGGCCAGTCAGAAGAATAAGGGAAAAAAGCCGACAAGGGGCAGTCGAACCACACCACCTTCTATGACAAAAGGCAAACGTGCAATCAGAAGTCCAGTCGATGCACCACAAGCCAGCTCCTGGTGGGACGGCGACCAAAAGAATAGTGAGCCTGATAAGATGACACCCGAGACTTCCGAATATGAAGCGCCTCCACGCGCACCGTCCGATGTGAGAGCCGAGCTCAAACGCCTGCGAGATGAAATTGTCCTAAAGGCACATCTAAACCTAGATCGCATCGACGATCACGAGCAGGTAGCTAGCCCCGACTTGCTTGCCAAGTGGAGGAATGGACCAGGAACAGACCCTGAATCCGCTCGGTACAAGTTTCTCATGCAACGACGCGGTGCCGGTAGAATTGAGGCGGATCTCAGACCTTCAGCGCCACCCCCAGTTGATCCCGCTTTACTCGTAGAAGAAGAGGAGACAGGAGAGAAGGCTTGGCGCTCCGGCATCACTAGGGACGATCCGGTTTTCAAAGCTCAGTTTGCGGCGCAGTTCCCCCCATACAGAGAGTCCGAGTCGACCTACCCTAGACTGGTTGAAGGCAAAATTATTTTGACATCAGAGCCCAGCGAGGAACAGAAAGCATTGAAGGAGAAGAATTCCAAGCGCGACAAGGTAGTTCCGGTGTCTTTTGATGACTCCCAGTTGTTGCTTGCGCGCTGGGACTATGCCCCTCGAGTAGACGCCGACCAGCCACAGTGGCGGCGCTCTTTTGAGTCTTGGCTACAGAGAGCGCTTGACTCATCTCGCGTGGTAGATGTCCACCGCGAGGCATTTTTCACCGGGCAGGCTTTGCCAGACGGTACACACGAGATGTACAAACCAAATTGGTCGTATGATTGGACTTGGCCTGACCCCACCGACGAGGAAGGACGTCTGCATCAACATGAGACTAGCCAGGGATATGTTGACAATAGGCTGGCCCGGATCAAAGAAGATAGGGAAGTGGAAGCACGTCTAGCTCATGAGCGCTGGCTAGCCGACGTCGAGTTCTACAAGCGTTACCCGAAGCCCGGAGAGACGAGACAAGATTTGTACCTGCGCCCAGTCGAAGACAGCGATGTTGAGCAGCTTGCGCGCATTTTTAGCTGGTTTTCCGAAAACTCCCCAATGAGCTTAGATATCGGGGTCATAAGTGAGGAAATCGTCCGGAACCGCATCGCAGATGTCAAGAAATACCGACTGCCATTCATCGTGGCCGTGGAACGTCCTACGCCCGGCGAGGATGCAGATACCCCCAGCAAGATCCTAGGATTTGCGCTTGCCATCGACCATGACGGACCGTGGACTACAGGCCAGTTCGCGGTCAAGCTCGAGTTCTATATGATGCCAAGGGAGCAACAGCACGGAGTCGGAACCTGCCTGATGGACAAAATGCTCTCGGTATTGGACGACAGGTACGTACCCAAACGTGGATACCATTTCCGCTGCTCGCAGGAGGACGACAATGCCTACCGTCCGGGCGGTCTGCGTGACATGGCTCGAGTCATCGTGACATGCGGTTTCCCTTGGTCGGAGCGTGATCATTACCAGTACATCCGCACCTGGCTCCAGCGGAAGTGGGATTTCACCGAGCAAGGCCACCTGCGTGGGACACGCTTGAAGTTCGATAGCCAGTAAGTACCATACAGCGTCAATCTGATTTGATAGTTTACTGACCCAAGGGGCACAAACCAGTCTTGATGTGATCTATTTGGTTCGCAATTTGGGCTGAAATGATCATTGTCGAATTGCGAGTCGCCATATTTCGCCGACCAACAAACCTCTCTCGTGGACTAGCTCCGCTTGTGGGTTGTCAATCTCTTTTGTCTTTTCATATCTAATCAACAGACCCGTGATTGATATCATTTGCCTTATGAGTTGCCCTCCAGGCTGATGCTCCCCTTGTCCTTTGATGGTATTATCAGCTCTTTCCTGGACTAGAAGGCTGGATAAATTTGTTGTTGCCACAGTACGCGGTCAGAAGCAAAAATCTCAGACAAATCACAGAATGGATGCTAGTATGTGAGAAATTGAAAACGTTGCGATCCAGAGCCCACCCATGCTCCGAGGTCCCGTAGAGAAGCTTAGATCACACCAGCCTCTGTAACCAACAACCAAAGATTTGTATAGGAAACAGACAGCCGAATAGACCCAATCACTAACACCCCAAGAAAGCGGAAACACTTTCTGCCGGTATTGGACGTCTCACCGCCTCGGAAGTTTCAACTTTTTTTCCATTCCCGCATTCCACTGGTTCCTGGCCGATTTGACTGGTGAGAAACAAAAAAAAGTTGGGGGCTTGAGATTTCACTCTTTTTCGATCATTACATCCTCCTACGCAGATTTCTTCACTAGTCTTACCAATTAGTCTGGAATTGGACAATCTAGAACCACAAGGAACCTTTCAACGCTTCTGAATAAGAATCCGAAGAAAAGATGGCTCCCAAACGGAAGGTGGATGACGACTTCGTCATGACGTTGTCCGACGACGAGAACGACACGCCCAATCAGCTTGACGAGGAAGGTGACAACGACGAATTCGCCTCGAAGAGGACCGACGCTGCGACGAAAAAGCGCAAGAGGGAGGAGCCGGCCGACACCAAGAACAAGAAGGTGAAGCAGCAGCAGGAGAACAAGAAGCAGGCCAACAAGTCGTCGAAGAAAGGCTCGAAGCAGGCTGCGCAATTGGAGCCGGAAGAGGAGGACAGCGAAGAGGACAGCGAAGATGAGGAGGCCGATGCCGCTGAGGATGATGGGGCCCTGAACCCCGACTTCGAATTCGATGTGGGAGGGGTTGCGAATGAGGTGACTGAGTTCGATGGGTGGGCGCAGAATGTGCCTGACGAGGAGACGGCAAGAAAGGGCGACAAGAAAGCGGTTGACATCGATGAGATCATTGAGAGGCGGCAGGCAAAGAAAGAGGCTGCGGCGAAGAAAAAGCAGAAGAGGCAGCAGGTGGCTGAGGAGGATGATAGTGGAGATGAGTCGGATGGGGGCATGTCCGTCGATTTCGGCGATGATGAGCTGATGGCGGAGGATGGCTTCGGCATGGGCGCTGATGGCGAGGATGAGAGTGGAAATGAAAATGCGGACTCAGACTCAGAAGAGGAGGCCGAGGAGGACGACGAAGAAGCTAACGAGGATGATGAGGATGAGGACGAAGATGAGGAAGCTGCTTCCGACGACGACTCCGTCGCTACTCCTGTCGCGCACCCTGACGATGTGGGCGCTGACGAGGAATCTGATGCGGAGAGCGAAGTTGACGCTGAAGAAGTAGCCAAACGCAAGGCATTCTTCGCCCCCGAGGAGAAGACTGAGACCTCTGCTGTCAACGCGAAACGATCTTTCCAGGACTTCAACCTGTCGCGACCTATCCTTCGTGGTCTGGCTGCGGTCAACTTCTCCAACCCGACCCCCATCCAGCAGAAGACCATCCCCGTTGCGCTTCTCGGAAAGGATATCGTTGGCAGTGCCGTTACTGGTTCCGGTAAGACGGCTGCCTTCGTCGTTCCCATTCTCGAACGTCTGCTCTTCCGTCCGCGCAAGGTCCCTACCAGCCGTGTCGCGATTCTGATGCCCACTCGCGAGTTGGCAGTCCAGTGTTACAATGTGGCCACCAAGCTGGCCACCTACACCGATATCACCTTTTGTCAGTTGGTTGGTGGTTTCAGCCTGCGTGAGCAGGAGAACATTCTCAAGAAGCGGCCCGACGTGATTATTGCCACCCCGGGTCGTTTCATCGATCATATGCGCAACTCGCCTAGTTTCACGGTTGATACACTCGAGATTCTGGTGCTCGATGAAGCCGACCGCATGCTCGAGGACGGTTTCGCTGACGAACTGAACGAGATCTTGACTACTATCCCTAAGTCCCGCCAAACCATGCTCTTCTCCGCTACGATGACCGACACCGTCGACAAGCTTATCCGCGTCGGTCTGAACCGTCCCGTGCGCCTGATGGTCGATTCGAAGAAGAACACGGCCTTGACGCTGACCCAGGAATTCGTGCGTCTCCGCCCTGGTCGGGAAGACAAGCGCCTGGGTTACCTGCTGTATCTGTGCAAGGAAATTTACACTGGACGAGTGATCGTCTTCTTCCGCCAAAAGAAAGAGGCCCACCGCGTCCGCATTGTTTTCAGTCTGCTTGGGTTGAAAGCTGCCGAGCTTCACGGTAGCATGAGCCAAGAACAGGTATGTCCGAATCTATCCTACGACTTATGAGCCCGAGCTAACCGCCGTTCTGCAGCGTATCAAAAGCGTGGAGAGCTTCCGTGACGGCAAGGCTGCCTTCCTCCTGGCCACCGACCTGGCGTCTCGTGGTCTGGATATCAAGGGAGTGGAAACGGTCATCAACTACGAAGCCCCGCAAAGTCACGAGATCTATCTTCACCGTGTCGGTCGTACCGCGCGTGCCGGTCGCTCGGGTCGGGCCTGCACGATTGCGGCCGAGCCAGACCGCAAGGTGGTGAAGGCCGCCGTCAAGGCCGGCAAGGCGCAAGGTGCCAAGATCGCCAGTCGAGTGATCGACCCTGCGGTTGCGGATTCATGGGCGGCGAAGGCCGAAGGATTAGCCGATGAGATTGAGGAAGTTCTGGAAGAGGAGAAAGTGGAAAAGCAGCTGGCACAAGCTGAGATGCAGGTGACCAAGGGAGAGAATCTGATCAAGCACGAGGCCGAGATCAAGTCCCGGCCCAAGCGGACGTGGTTTGAAACCGAGAAAGACAAGCGCGCAGCTCGCAAGCTGGGCGCAGAGGCATTGAACGGACCCGGTCAGTCGAAGAAGGAGAAGGTGAAGCTGAGCAACAAGGACAAGAAGAAATTGGATGACTCCAGACAGCGCTTGGAGGGCAATGCCGGCTGGAAGAAGGGCAAGAGCATGCGAGAGTCGCAAAAGAATGGGAGAGTCCCGACTGAGAAGAAGGGCAAGAAGGGAAAAAAATGAGGGTGGTGATGATGACGATGATTGAAGCCTGTTGAGTGTACTTAGTGTATATACCTTTTTCCACGATTTTTTTTTCCTTTTCCTTTTTCTCTTTCCTCTCTCCATCGCCAGCTAGATGTGGTGCCAATGATTCCATTTTCCAAACCGAGTAAATCAACGGGCAGCGTCGGCTATCCGCGGGGATGGACTCTGATGAGGAGGAAGGAGAGGGTTGACCGCCTCCGGTCATCGGCGTGCCGGTTCCCCCCCTTCCCCCCCCCAGACTTACCCGGAGCGGGAGACTCGCAGCTTTGCTTTCCCGGTCGGGGGGTTGCTAATCACTGCACTGTGATTGAAGAAGGACTTGAAGAAGGACTTGAAGAAGGACTGATGGTAGAATCGTAGACACAATGTCGTCAATGCGCAAGGTGACCGACCGAGACTCTGGAGCATTTTAGTTTTACTCGATACGTGCACTTACATCCATGATGTCTTTTGCAGACAGTGGATGTTGTTGTTAGATGATGTTCTGTCGAGGGAAGAAGGCGATTATCCTATCAGGCCTCGCCCCGCCATCCGCTGTCGGCGCCGTACAGTAAAAAAAATCAATGATGGAGCGTCATCCAAAGAAATTCCAACTTGACTCACTCCCTCGCCGCTTTCTTATAACTAAATAACTACCTCGTACTCTCGCCCTTCCTATTTCTTTCTTCCTACTCTCCCCTTCAAACCGCCACCAACCCGCTCTGTATACTTCCTCTTCACGAGGCAATTCCTTATTCCCCAAATCCTCTTTTCCTCTACTCCAGTCCAAACCCCAGCTTTGTCTCGACTCTCAACCTCAATTCCCCCCCCCCCCACCGTCTTTCCTCCCTCTTCCCCGCTGCGGATCCCCCTTCCCCCCTCCGCTCGCTCTCTCGCCCATCATGCCCATGTAAGCTCCCATTGCCGTTTCTCCTTCATATTTGGTGCTCTGTCAGACGTCAGAATATGTAATTGATTAATTTCCGTTACAGGCTCAAAGATCCCTCGAAGAAATACAAGCGGTTTCAGCCGATCCACCTTCCTGACCGCCAATGGCCCAACAAGGTCATCAATAACCCTCCCCGCTGGCTGGCCACGGATTTGAGAGATGGTAATCAGAGCTTGCCCGACCCCATGGTATGACTTTCCCCTCCCTTTGCTTTTAGTACACTGGTTCCTCTTTGGGGTACAATTGATTGCCACCCGAGCAGACTAACATGTGTCCTCCGTGACAGGATGGGGAACAAAAACTCCGCTTCTTCAAGATGCTCCGCGACATCGGTTACAAGGAAATCGAAGTCTCATTCCCCTCTGCCTCCCAAACTGACTTCGACTTTACCCGTCGCCTGGTCGAAACTCCTGGCCTGGTTCCCGATGATGTATGGCTCCAAGTCCTGTCCCCGTGTCGCGAGGACCTGATCCGGCGCACGGTAGACTCCCTCAAGGGAGCCAAGAAGGCGATCCTGCACATCTACCTGGCTACAAGTCCGTGTTTCCGGCGTATCGTCTTCAATATGGACAAGGAGAAGAGCTTGGAGATGGCCGTCCGCTGCACCAAGTATGCGCGGTCGATCACCAAGGATGACCCTGAGATGGCTGGTACAGAATGGCACTTCGAGTTCTCGCCGGAGACTTTCTCAGATACCGAGCCCGAGTTCGCCGCACAGGTATGCGAGGCCGTCAAGGCCGCCTGGGAGCCCACGGAGAAGGACCCCATCATTTTCAACCTGCCCGCCACGGTTGAGATGTCGACCCCCAACGTCTTCGCCGACCAGGTCGAGTTCTTCTGCCGCAACGTCTCTGAGCGCGAGAAGTACGTTGTCTCCGTTCACCCCCACAACGACCGCGGTTGCGCCGTCGCCGCTGCCGAGTTGGCCCAGATGGCTGGCGCACAGCGTGTCGAGGGTACCCTGTTCGGCAACGGTGAGCGCACTGGAAACGTTGACCTGGTCACCCTGGCCCTCAACCTCTATACGCAAGGTGTCTCGCCCAAGGTCGACTTCTCCGACATCAACTCGGTCATTAAGGTCGTCGAGGAGAGCAACAAGATTCCCGTGAACGAGAGATGGCCCTACGGCGGGCAGCTGGTGGTGTGCGCTTTCAGCGGCAGTCACCAAGACGCGATCAAGAAGGGATTCAAGCTTCGCGAGGAGGCGGGCGCCAGCGACGACACCAAATGGGAGATCCCCTACTTGCCCCTGGACCCGCAGGACATCGGCCGGACCTACGAGGCTGTTATCCGTGTCAACTCGCAGAGCGGCAAAGGTGGTGCCGCTTGGGTCATCCTGCGCAGCCTGGAGCTGGATCTCCCGCGCGCTCTGCAGGTGGAGTTCAGCAAGATCGTGCAGCGCAAGACCGAAGATGTCAGCCGCGAGCTGCTGCCCAGCGAAGTGGTGGCCCTGTTCGAGGAAGCCTACCACCTCAAGTCCAACCCGCGCTTCACGCTGATCGACTACAACATCACGACGGACCGGTCGACCTCCCCCGCACCTCCAGAGCCCGGCAAAGCTCTCAACACCAAGAACCTCAAGCGTCGCTTCACGGGTATCATCGAGATCGACAACGTTCAGCACGGCATCACCGGTGTTGGCCCCGGTGCCATCTCCTCGCTGGCCAACGCGCTGGCCACCCTGGGCATCGACCTCGATGTTGTCGACTACAAGGAACATGCCATTGGTCTGGGTCGCGACGTAAAGGCTGCCACCTACATCCAGTGTACTGCCGCCGGCAGCAAGGAAACCGTCTGGGGTGTTGGCATTCACCAGGATGTTGTCCAAGCCAGTTTGATTGCTCTCCTCAGCGCCGCCAGCTCTGTAAGTCCTTCCGTCTACCCTGTCACTCCCCTGCCTCTTCTCCAACCGAAAACTTAAGTTACTAATCATGAATCGCAAAAATCAGTTTCTCACCAGCCGCGCCGGCTCTCCCGCCCCATTCCGCCCTATCCGTTCCAACACTCTCACAGACGAGGACCTCGAAGCCCTCGAAACCCTCGCCGGCAGCTCCAAGCCCAAAGTCGATTTGGCCAGCCTCACCAAGCAAGCCGAGAGCCAGTGATTGGCTGTCTATCGTCAACAAAGAACAAGTCTTTCTTGTCTACTTTTCAACATAACAAAACGTCTTTCGGTTTTGGGAGCATTTCTCTTGTTTCGTAATGTCTAGGGGCGGGTCCTGGGAGGAATATATCCTCTTCTCTTTTTTCCTTTTTTCCCCCTTCTTTTTTCTATATTACACGAATGTGAATGAAAGGTTTTGAGAAACTTTGTAATGTTCTCCGTGAGGAGTTCAGAGAAGGGGGGAGGAGAAAGAGACAGAGAGAAAGCATGTGCGTGTGTTGTCACTAAAAGTGCTGGGTGGGTAATTTCGGGGCTAGTATTGTGAAGCAGATTCGTGCGATACTATCTTGCCAATATACGTTTCGAACCTTTCTATAGTACGATGCAAACATCTCAAGTGTACACACGCTGTCTGGTTGGATACCTGGCGGCTTCGAACTAAGTTGAAGATCTATTGGCCTAGTACAACCCGTGAAAGACCAATCCAATTAATCACTGTCCAAAGTTTGGGGACAGGAAGAGCAGATCGAATTAGAGAGGCTTGGATGGTGTGAATGTCTACGGATCTCCGATCTTCTATGGGCTACAGTCAAGGCTCTGCTCAGCAACAGGAGGTAAGATGCTCATGGTCAACAGGATAATGAAGGATTCTTTCGAAGCTAATATAGGAGAATGTGGCTGCCTATCAATGCTATAACATCCGAGCACGTCTTTCTATATCAGGAAGGTAGTGTCATAGGCCGGGGCGGGGCCCAACAAGAAAAGAAGAAGAGGGGTATGCTATGTACAGAACAATGCATGTCGTTCGTCATGGGGCAGGAGTTGCGGGGGAAGCAAGGGGGCGAGCACATATACTTGTCAGACTGGAAGCAATAAAGCAATATAGGGGTTTTATGATAAAAGGATAAAGCCAATCAGAGTAGGAAGAAGAAGGGAAAGAAAGAGAGGGATGAGGCTTCATGATGATGGGCAGGCTATGCAAAATGGAAAACGGGAAAACGTGAGGTACCATGAAGGTGCTGCAAGTCGGTCAACAAGACACACACAAAGCCGGTTCGGCAAAATAGGCCTCGCAGCCTCGTACAAACAGACTGTTATGTACAGTACAGTAAATGCCGATCGCACTTGACTAACGTTGCTGATAGGGTGTCCCTTCGTGACTCGGAGCGTCGTCAAATCCCAGGGTGGATTGATAAATTAATGCTTCTTGTGGCCAGTCCCCGGAGCTGCGATCTAATGTGTCGGAAACGGGCTTTCGGTTGTATGAGTCGGACCGCGCAGGGAAGTTCCCACTTGCTTGCTGCGGCTGTGGTCCTGGCCCACCTCGATAGGGAAGAGTCTCGCCCATCATAGGAGCTCCTGGACCCGCCTGGGTAGACGAGCCGGCACCTGTCGTGTGGGTGAAATCTCCGAATTCGAAGCCGAAGTCGGGATGACCAATGGCCGAGGGAAGCTCGGCTCCTGTTACGGCAGTAACTCCATTCGTTGAAGCGGTTGTCGGTCGCGAGGGTTCAGTAATCTGTGGAACAGAGGCTATACCTTCAGACGCAGTGCCGGTAGGGCTGCCAATGCCAGGTTCCTGCATGCCAGAATACGAGTGTATGGATGCTTCAGAATGCTCGACAAGAACCGGAGCGGGCGACCGGGGTAAGGGCTCGGTATCCGGTACAACAGTAGATCTGCGAGTGCTGTTGCCCATAGTGCTGCCAGGTTTCGAGCTTCGACTCATCCGGTGCTGGGGTGCCGCGAAGGGGTTCTCAGAGCCTTCCATGTCACGAATGCTGAATTGGGCGATCGTTCGCAATTTTCGGGTAACCCACGAAGCCAGCACCTTACCGCGTTGCTTCTCTCCAAGACGAGATCTAGGGAAGTCTCCGTGGGAAACGAAGGCAACAATATCTGCAACGACTTGGTGCTCGTTGAGAATGGCATCAACAATAACAGGAACAAGTGATGCCAAATAAGCCTTTCTTGTTACCTCGACTACGACCACAATGAGGCCCCCC